CCCACCGACATCGGCTGGGATTGAACCTAGACCCATCGGGGTGTTAGAAAGCAGTCACGCTTATCACTACACCACCGGCGCCGGCTTTGATACGTTGATGGCAAGTCCAATCCGCCTAGCTTCAGCCTTCAGTCTGATGTACGTTTTTGCCATCGTCTCAAAGCTCCGTGCCATGATGTCGATGTCATCGGTGAAGCCAAGAAGCTGGATGGACTTCCTGAAGATCGTGCCACTCTTGTCTATCCCAGCTCTTCTGATCATACCTTCTAACGCGATTTTGAATAGCAGACACGAAAGTCCATCACCTTGACGTAACCCCCTGCGAGATTCAAAGGGACTCGAAAGTGTCCCCGATACTCGAACAACGCGCATCACTCGACCCATCGTCGCCTTGACCAATCGCGTCAGTTTATCCGGGAATCCGTTGTACTCGTGCATAATCTGCCATAGCTGAGCTCGATCGATTGTGTCGTATGTGGATTTGAAATCGATGAACAAATGATGTGTGGGCACGTTGTATTCGCGGCATTTCTGCAGAACCTGCCGAATCGCGAATATTTGGTCCGTAGTAGCGCGGGCACACATGAAGCCCGCCTGGTATTGCCCCACGAACTCTCTTGCAAATTTGCGAGAGTACCTTGTAGGCGGCGCTCAGCAGTGTGATCGCGCGGTAGTTTCAGCAATTCAACTTGTCGCCCTTTTTGTAGATTGGGCATACGACACCTTCCATCTTCAGCCGGCCGTTCTCCTCCTCAACTTCTTGAACATCAGGGGTCGGTAGCCTGTCGTCTTCTGTGCGTGCTCCAAGGTCTGTTGCCGTTCCACCTTCGTTTTCTGCTGCTTTCGCTGAGGTGTTCATCAAAGTACTGCTTCCACCGCTCAATCACGTCACACTCATTCGTGAGAAGGTTACCGTCCAATTCCTTACACATATCGGCTTTCGGCACGTAGCCTTTGCGCGAACTATTTAGCTTCTCGTAGAACTTCCGTGTGTCGTTTATGCGGTACAGATTTTCCATCGCCTCGCGATCTCGGTCTACCTGCTGACGATTTTTCCATCGGAAAACCGAGTTTTGTTTGTTCCGCCCTTGTCTCTATCGCTCCACATTCAATCTCGTGCGGTGTTGCAGCATTCTGGTAGTGCAACTTCCAGCTGCTGCTCGTAGTCCTGGGCAACTCCGGCGTCCCGTAGTTGCTCAATGTTGGGTCGCGGCGTTCGACTTCGACGGGTGTTATGCACCGTCGAGAATTTTGAACGCATGCATACTGCAACAAGGTAGTGGTCCGAATCTATGTTCGCACTGCGGTACGTGCGGACGTTGATAATGTCGGAGAAGAATTTCCCGTCGATTAGAACGTGATCGATTTGGTTTTCTGTGTGTTGGTTAGGTGATCTCCAGGTGGCTTTGTGGATATCCTTGCGGGGGAAAAAGGTACTTCGAACTACCATTCCTTGAGAGGCTGCAAAGTTCACGCATCGTTGGCCGTTGTCGTTCGATACGGCATGGCCCGATTGCCGGTCTATACATTGTCTCCCGTCCTACCTGAGCGTTCATGTCGCCGATGACGATTTTGACGTCCCATTGCGAACAGCCGTCGTACACCTGCTCCAACTGCGCATAGAACGCTTCTTTCTCGTCGTCGTCGGGTCTCCCGTCGTGTGGGCAGTGCACGTTGATGATACTGTAGTTGAAGAAACGGCCCTTAATCCTCAACTTGCACATCCTCGCGTTGATCGACTGCCAACCAATCACGCGTTGGCGCATCTTACCCAGCACTACAAAGCCGGTTCCCAGCTTGTTGGTGGTGCCATACCTCTGGTAGAAAGTAGCCGCTCGATGCCCATTTTTCCATACCTTTTGTCCCGTCCAGCAAAGTTCCTGCAGTGATGCGACTTCGAAGTCGCGTGGTTGAAGTTCGTCATAGATTAACCTATCGCAGCCCGAGAAGCCGAGCGATTTGCAGTTCCATGTTCCGAGTTTCCAGTCGTAGTCCTTATTTCGTCGCGTAGGTCTGTGCCGATTGTTCCGATCCGTATTTCTTTCTTCAGGAATTTGCAACTTTTTGTTTTTCCAGGGCGGCTTGTTGGGCCTGACACAACCCCCTGTCTCGTCTGGGGACCATCGTGCACAGCTCTGCTTAGAGTCCCATTCTGGCACTAGGACGGTGATCAGCTGCTCCTTACATAGAGAACAGACGCCGTTTTGAGCCGCACCTCCATGGTGAACACACGCTCAGGCTTGATGAAGCATTTCCTCTATCACCGTACTATGGTTACCACGCCAGTTTTCGCGTCGCACCTCTTCACTTTGCTATTGCCGGACTGGCAACATTGCCCAGGCTACGCCACCCAGCTGTATCTATGTTTCAGCTGGTAGCATTTTTTTATCATATGACTCGGGGAGGCGTGAAGTAGGAACTTTTGAGGACCAGGGCTAGGTATTCCGCTCCTTCCAGGTTGTCAACTCACCATTTTGTAGCCCAATAGCGGAAGTGTGCTATCACCGTGATTATTTTTATCAGTATAATATAAACTTAAACGCATCCTATGACTGTCAAATGAGGTAGTTACAAAAAGCCTAGCGTGCTGCTCAGTTTTGTTTATTTTAATTTAATAAGAAACTTACAGTACACATTTTATACGCTATGCTTGAATCTTCTAAAAAAAAATGTTGAATTTTCTACATTTAACCCATTTTTATGCACTATAAGGACAGCTAGTTAGAGTGATGATATATATAAAAAAAACGGGTACAAATGATGCTACAAAAAATATCCTCAACATTTCAAGCATTTCAACTTTCCCCACATTGTTACACCCTATGGGGCAAATTGAAATGAGTACAAGGGGAAGTTGAAATGGTGGATTTCCCATTGTCAGTACTAGGAATCACTTCAAAATGTTGACTATTAATCTCTAATCTAATCTAATCTAACACCAACACAGCCAGTTCTTGAAAGCATCCTGGAAAATGATGGATATACCATAATTTTTCTTGTCTATTTGATATATGGTTCATCTCGAAGATGCGTCACACATATCAAAACGGTCAGGCCTACTGTGCAGCATTTAAGGCGCAAGATGATTCAGAAAACATCGGGCCTTAGATCGAAGATTTAAACACGATGCTTCAGAATCCAATTGGGACATGAGCACTAACTCTTGTCCTAGCCTTTTATGGCTTATGGCTATAGCGCCATTACTTGCTTTCTGAAAAGAGTAGAGGGAAAGGAAAAGGAGAAGGACAAAAGGGATAAAGGGAAAAGGATTATGTAAACTCTATGAACATAAACAATATTTTTGATTTGAAATATACAATATAGAAATGCATAACGGCGGTGGTCACTGCCCGAGTCTTGTCACTATTATCAAGTCATAAAAAGTAACAAGCACTAAAATTTAATCCTTGATTACTAGAAAATCCTGATTCCCTAGTTTGAAGTTGGCACGACTAGGGTCCAGTCGTAGATCTTATACCAGTAACGCACCACAAAAAGGTGATCTCTCAATGTTACTGGTTTGAAAAGGTAAAAATTTACAAAATGGAACGAACTCACCAAGTTTAGCCAATTGAACCTGAATGCTGCCTGACATGTGTTGATGTAGAAGTAGAAGTCCAAATTGTAGACGAAGCTTGACGAAGATCAACATGAACTAGTTTGGTTTATGGTAGTTGCGCGGTATGTCCGTCGATTTGAGATAAACAAATGATGTATGTAGTCGATTTTTGATCGTGGCCAATAGTCAGGTTCAACGCTGTGACTCAATGAATGATGGAACTAATGATGGGACGCCTCGTGGAGGTTCTACTTGGCTTCGGAACAGCTTCTCAGTGGCAAATAATAGGGATTGAGGAACTAGAAATTGTCTCCTGGGCCTGGTTTTGGCCAGATCAGAAACCGATTATAGATAAAAAAAACTCCACGGAAAAAAACAAACGTCAGGTTCGATCACACCACTTCAAAATGTTGACTATTAATTTTACCATAAAAAAGAGGTTGATTTATCTTTAGTAGAGATGATCAATTTTTCACCATAAAACTAAATACACGCTAACTTCTGCTTACTCACCATGTGAGTCGATCGTACTCACTTTCGTCCGATGTATCGAGTTGTCAAAAATTGAGTAAACGAGAAATGTCAAACTGAGTAAAAGCCACTCAGTCAGCAAAATCCTGGACTTGGAAAAAATGCCAGTCATGTCGGAGGAAACCTCATAGAAAATGTTACTCAACACCGGCTAAAATGCCTTCAGGTAAGTTGGAATTGCTTAGGGAAACGGTGTTGAACCGTTTTTTGCTCCGGTAGAATGAATCCGGAGCAGGCAATTTCCATTTCCTTGAATAAAAATCAAAACAAAAACCCTCCCCGCAACTGAAAATACCGGCGAGTGGATTTGACTCAGTCTACGTGAGAACGTAGTTTACTCAAAAGTGAGTCAACATAAGGCTACTCAATTTTGAGTAGCCATACTTGCCGCTGAGATGAGTACATTCAACTCAATTTTGAGTTGACCAGAATAAGCGTGTACACCTCATAATTTAGCTTTATGGAGCTAGATTAGCTAACACACACCATATATGTATCCTCATACAAAAGAAAGTTTTTTAAATCTAAACTGTAGTTTAATATTTTTTCAAGATTGAAGGCGCTTTTACTAAACTTTTAGTGCAACAAAAAATCCGGTTTATGTTCTTTTATGACTTTTCCAGAGAGCCTCAAAGATCATCTTTGAAAAAACCGTTTCAACTTGCCCCGATGTACCTTATATCCAATTATCATGGCACCATCTCCATTGCCATATATTCTTGCTGTTCAATAATAACCCAACTGAGCTTCACTGTTTAAATCGCCGATCCCAAACTGCTCACTTTCAACGCAATCCCAGCCGCATTAAACATTCACCGTCTCGATTTAATCATTCAATTACCAATCGAATCTAATTCAATTTATTCCCTCTTTCTCTCTCTCTTGGAATATCTGTTGTCCGCAAAATCAGGTCCCTCGATACGACATCCCCCGGGGGCATTTCACAACGCGGCGGGAAGCAGTCCATTCACCGTTCCCAGCCAGTCCAGCACGATGTTGTTGCTGTTGCTGCTGCTGCTCCTGTTGCTCCCATCGATAGCGTTACAAGCGCCTCTGAGCCGAATCAACAGATGAAACTGAACTCACAACTGCCATCCACCAGCACCACCACAACCACCAGTAGGAGTAGCCTCACAGCCCAGCAGAATCATCATCATCATCAGCCTACCCCTTTCGGTGTTTGTCATGAACGACAGCAACTCAGCCACGGAGCAGAACCCCCGAGGGGTCCTGTCAAGCAAAGCACTCAACAAACGCGCTGAGCCCACATACACTCACACATTGTAGTATGGGTATATGGCTTATGTGAGAGGTAAGTTTATTAGCTAACTAAGTGAGAGACATTGTTTGTATACAAACGCAAAAAGTAAGGATAGTAGCTATTAGAACAATTTCTATACAAAGAATAGAACAAATGCAGAGTGACAAAGGAAAATATGCGTATATTATAAAGAGAAAAATAAACATACACACACACACTAGCTAAGAGCTAGTGAGGAATATATAAGTTAGATTGTTTGTAGTGAAACCGAAAAAGAATATGGAACTCAAACAAAAAATCATCAGTTTATAGCAGGAAACTATTTCTTTTCTGTAAATAAAATAGCGTTGCTTAAAGATGCTTTGATCATTCTCAGAAAATATCAGAACTACGATTCCACGGTTGTTTCGACATTTTTGTGGAAACTATTCATCACAGTACTGGAGGGAAGAGCGAACAGTGTTCACAACTTTCTCCAAGTACTGACGTAATGAGGTTTAGAATCCTACCATAACCACGCGTCGTCGGTAAGTTGACAACTGTCTCTGCTGTATTGACACGAATAAATCTATATTTTAGGGTAATTCCTTGAAGAGTCCAAAAATGGCTGCCATATGGCCGTTTGAAAACAAACAGATTAATCACAGATTTGTCGAGGATAAACGCTTTATCTCGCAAACAAGCTATACCGAATGGTAGAGGAACGATTCATCTACCAGTTGGTATTGAAGTAATGAAATTGGGTTGTTAGCGGAATGCTTAAATAAAACAGCAAACAAGGGGTTATCTTCCATTTAATTCCACTTAAATAATTTTGGTATCCACGACAGATCGAGGGGGCGACACATCGAAAATGTCGTTTAGCTTCAACTCTATTTACATATGGTTTTCTTGTTCAGTGTAGATTTGCAGGATTCCGTTTCCTACCGTTTCCTACTGTTTGCTGGCATCTACTTTTTCGATGCTGCAGTAGATAGAAATCGATGGCGATAGGTACGGAATGATTTTTCATGAAAAGTAGGTGTGTGTGTCAATTCATTTGCTGCTAAGTAGACACGAGCCTACATATGCTTGAAATCAGTGAGCTTGCAGCTCTGAGGTGCCACGGTCTAGAACAGTATGTTTCTCGGAAAGTGAGAGGATTATATATACCGTAATAAAATTGGCATACATATTTCATAACGAACCAATACTCGGAAATAATCAATTTTATGAGCAGCATACAAACTTTTGTATAGTAGGGGAAATGGATGTAATGTCGGCCTAAATGCCCTTAATTTGGGCCCATACATAAATTCAGCAATCGTCTAATTTTTCAATAGCTACCAAAAAATATCCATTTGTACCGTCCCAATGACGCTTTCATCTAGATAAAATTGATAAATAGCAGATTTTTAGCGATGGAACCAATCTTAGAGCCATTTCCCCTATATGTTTAAAAAATGATGTACCATATAGAGATACAGGTGTTGTCAATCAGGCTGGTTGGTTTATATAACACATATGTTATCGATAGGAAACTTTCATAAACTAGAAGGCTGGTGATCCAGTACAGTAATAGACCTAAGCGGATGGGAAGAAGTGTGGATTAAAACTTTCGCTTTTCCATCAATAGAGCATTTTACGAGACATTTCTGGTTAAATTCATGCATAATACTCTTGTAAATCTTTGAAGTAAATCTGCCAACCGAGAGTACTTGCCGCTACAGAAATAACCGAAGAAATTCATGTTGCAGTAAACAAGCCCGGTCAAACCGTGAACGAGGTAGTTTTCACAATACCGCAACCTACCAGTTTCTGGGGGTTATTCCGAAAGTCGAAGTAACTTTTGTCACTTTTGAAGTGAGAAAAACCACGTCGTGGTGACGTGACTCTCTGTGAAAATCAAATGAAGAGTCACGTCACCACGACGCGACTTTTCTCACTTCATTAGTGACAATAGTCACTTGGATTCTCGGAATAACCCCCGCTGACTGACTTTGACTAGAGATTTACGACCATTCCGTTTCTCATTGTAGAACCTTAAACTGGCAGTGGTTTTCATTGACCGGTACGGTAAGGATTCACGTTTTGCTTCGCAGTGGGCACTAGCTTCCACAAAGCAATTTTGTAGTGCTGAATTCATTTGCTCTTAAAAGTATAAATTCTTAAAATCTGCAATACTTCTAGCTTCCTAAATGACCATCATTTGGTGGCACCATCTCTATCTCCGAACGGACCACTTAAAACTCACAAATCTATAATTCTGGTGTTACGACGTTGAACAATTATCACTTGATCACGGTCTCACCGAAATGTAAATAAACACCTCCGGCTTGCTGCTTCGTCTGCTATGGTTGTTTGTTCGGTGATAGCTCGATCACGAGAAGATTCGAGCATGCTCAAGTAGATGGTAGTAGATGCCACAGATGCAAACAGATGGTGTACGGTAAATAAATATATAAAAAAATAGAACAGATTCACGCTGAAAATGAGATAATCTGGATGTGTCGCCCCCCTCGCGACAGATACGTATTTTGACTACAATGTGCCCCTTTTTGCTGTTTTATCTAAGCATTCTGCTAACAACCCAATTTCATAACTTCATTATGATGGCTACCAAGCCTTTGGGATGTTTTCCTTATTAGAGATTTGAATTAATTTTTCTCCTTTACTTAAGGTAAATCCTTATCCACTAGGTAAAAATGTCAAGATCACAGGTATAAAAATTAATCTAAAATGTGTAGAATCGGAACCTACCTAACTAATAATGACCAAAGGTAGTATAGGTTACTACCTTTGGTTATTATTAGTTAGGTAGGTTCCGATTCTACACATTGTAGATTAATTTTTATACCTGTGATCTTGACATTTTTACCTAGGGGATGAGTACTTAAGGGGGTTAGGTTTTTGATAAGTCTTTAGTGGAAATGACACTGATGAAGACTGCACATTTAAGTCGAAATACGTATCTGTCATGGATACCAACATTATTTAAGAAGATAAGGAAGATAACCCATTTTTTGCTGTTTCAGTTGGTATTGTTTTTTTTTAGCGAGATTGAACTTTTATCGTGCGAAATCGGTGGTTGATCAATTTATTTACAAATGCATGTACGCCCTAATCACGAATCAATCTGGATTTGTGCTCTTTAAATCAATCGATTTGCTTCACTGAGCTTACGAAACCAACATAGACGATGTGTCTCGATGAGAGAAGAAGGAGAAGGAATTAAAATTCTCAAGTAACATGTCAGGCATAACATTTGATAACGGCACAAAAGCATTTGTAAACAAACTTTCTAAACCCCTTAACACGTGAACCAAAGTACGCCCACGAAAACCAATACCACTTTCGGAAAGGTGATAGTTGCCCCTATGTGGTTACTCATGGTTACTCATGATAAGCTCTGATGAATAGTCGCGTATGATCTCGTGATTTGATCTCAGACTGGCGTCTCTGAACCTTTCGAGGATGAGCGTACTCCGCTCTTCCAGTGTCTGAAGACCAGCCAGGCGGTGGATCTCAGAATTTCGAGTCCGCGGGGGACTTCAATTTTCTTCATTGTATCACCGGCACTTCGTGGGGAGCCCATGCGGAAGATCTGATAAGACTTTACAAAACCACCATTCTTTAGGTTTTGGAGTATGGTAGCTTTTGCTTTCAATCGGCGGAGAACACGTACATCTTGAAGCTGCAACGGATTCAATATCGTTGTATTCGAATTGGACTAGGTTGTATGCAATCGACGCATTCAATTAGTCTGGAAGTACTTGCGGGCGTACTTCTCTTACCAGATCGGTTTGCGGAATTGTCTTTTCGGTTCCTTATCCGCTGTGAAGTCATGAACCCGTTGGAGATCGAGAATTTTGAGAAGCTGCTTGAGTGAAATTCGCAAATCGCAACAATTCATGAGCTTGTACTACGAAAAATCAGTCCCTTCTCGTTCAATACCAATGAAGTATCCCACGATTTCAGTAGTTCTTCCGTAAGATTCGATCTCACAATGAGGGAGGAAATTCAAGGAATACCAGAGCCCCATCTCCCCCTCATTGTACCATCCATCTTCGCGAACAAATACCACCACGACAATGCCGAGAAGAGATTTTTCAATGATGGGTCCACAATAAATGCGTCCACTCGTTTTGGTGTATTGGTATATTCAGTATTCAATAATCTTCATAGCGGCTCATATCAGCTTCGAAAACCATGTTCGGTATGCGTTGCGGAACTAGCAGCTATATTGTATGCGTAAGAGCTGATCTCCTCACGTCCCCTGATCACTATTTCATTTCTTGGGGTGGTCTAAGTTCCCTGAAGGCTATGCGGTCAATGAGGCCACGTATTTCCTGAACGAAATTCGATCGTCACTGAGTGCTTTATCAAACTAAGGTGCATGAGTCCCTTCTCATTGCTCTATCCCGGGCAATGAGAAAGCGGAAAGCTAAAGTGGCCGCTATGGAAGGCGATATTTACGAGCGACAAATCACCTACAATGAATTTTTCACAATTGTTCGTCAGCAAGTCCTCATCAACTGGCAACAAAAGTGGAATGATGGTGATCTGGGAAGATGGTTACATTCGATCCTCCCACAGGTGTCGATCAAATCCTGGTTCAAGAGATTGAACGTGGATCGCGATTTTATCCGGGTAATGTCCAGGCTCATGTCCAATCACTACTCGTTAAACGAACACCTCTACCACCGACACACCGACATGAATGATCATACCAATTACAAAGACATTTCTGCACAAAACTGACATCTGCCGCCGTGTTCGCGGAAAATATTTATCCTAGCCACGAACACGCGTACAAAATTTATGAGTTGGTTCGTGTCTAATCTATTTCGGACAAATTATTTTTATCTAGATAAAACATTTTTTATGGTTTTGACAGATGGGGTCACTGCACATTTGAATCGGCCGTTATGGAGTATCGATCAAGAGTTAAGTTTAAGTTTCATGTCGGTTTTTCGGTGCCTCTACCGCATAGAGCTTGTAGACAGCAGTTTGTGTGCTAGTGGAAACGGCTATCACGACATCGAGTATGTTGTCTGGTTCTGCATCTCACATCATGTGGCGAGATCCGAACTACTTGAATCCCTTAGGGCCCGAAGAAAACAATCTTATACCCCAATTAGAGACGTTCTGGCTTGCCGTGATCTCGATTTTATGAGATTAATTTACGAATTTAAAAAAAGTTCTGATTTGTGTATTTAGTAGTGTTATGTATTTTAATTTTCTCATCACTATCCCAATCCAAGTCCCCTCTTGTATCATGTCAGCTGTGTTTTCAATGCTTCTTCCACAATCATCCGTCGAAAGAAGCAGAAAGAAGAAGATTTATCAATATCCATTTTCCCTTTGTTCCCTTCTTATCCTCTAAATAAATGTAATTATTTATCTCGAGTAAACCACCATTATCGGCCCCCATTCTACTAACTTTAGTTGTAAGAAATGATTATCTAATATTACATGTAAAGTAATTTGGCTCCGCAAAGTTACCGCATTTGAGCCTTGACAAATAAATGGATTAAAAAAAAAGGTGGACTTTTAAGTTACCAGGT